ATTTTGTTTTAGATATATTTTTTCTTAATTTATACAGTTTTTGTATCTGTGTAAATTTGTATATAACATATTGATATATGTTGTGTTGATTTGCACAAACTTATATGCGTTGTGTAAATTGTAATAGTCAATAAATGAGAAACGAGAATGATATCTAATAAAAAAAATGGAAGCACACGTACAAATCGAAGAAAGTATTATTATTTGTACAAAAAGAAAATGAAATCAAGATTCCTTTTAATTCATGCTAAACATCTGTGGGACGCGCGATCTTTTTTTTTTTTGTCTTTTGTAATGATTTTAATCGCTGGTTTATCTTCTTCCGTTGAGGAAACAGTCTATTTCGTATCAAATTTCGATTACGTATCAATATCTTAATTGAAGGCGTTTGTTCCCCTTACAATTAGTTGATAACCTTGCATGTGAAGCGATATGAGCGATATGTCTGCGAAGAAGGTCATTAACGTTCGGATCACAATCGATGTGAAGATGAGGAGGCGAAGCGAGTTGACATCCCGCTCATCATACCATCTTGTTTGATGTACTCGTATTTGTGTACACGTGGACGTATGTCGTCTACGCGCGTGGGTCGAAGGTCTCACGCAGAGATTGAGCACATAATGTAGGAGAACGGAATGAATGAGAGCATATAATTGAGAGAATGTTTCTCTCATTTAATCATAGTTAGAGCCGCTCGCAAGGAATGGTTATACCACTGAGAGAGCAAATAATGTTTTTATATTTTGAAATATTATTTCACCTTGCACTTTGTTCCAATAATAATCTAAAGTATCGTGCGACTTATTTGTTGCATTAATACTTTTTCTATATGACCGATTAATTATTTATCTAATATGTTCTACATGATTTTGAATGAATAATTTACAAATAAGTGATAATTTTATTTTCAGTTTGACGTGTAATTTTTTGATTGTTATTTATTATCTAATTGATGTTTGATATGTAATTTTATTAGATAGAAAATTTGTATTTTTATAATATAAAAAATGCAATCTTACTTTAATCTTCAATTTTAAAAAATACAATATTATGAGAGAATTAATATATTTTTAATAGGGATTATGTAAATTTGAAATTTGATGATAACATGATCGTATTATTTGGACATGTAGAATGCGGCATAATTGAACGCATTGTAAAACATTCTTGCTTAAATAATTTGTTTTTTATTCATACTTATGCCATAATTGTTTACGATTCAGTTGTTACGTCAAAAACACATGCATATTCTGCATTTGTTCGTTTATACATTTCGTCACGATTGCGTTACACTTTCGATTGCTAATTGTAAATTTGCGAGTGCTCTGAGTATCAAATTATTCAGCAAGAGGAGAAGAATAAAAACTATAATCGCAAAATGTATCATTTGGTTACAGATATTGTACGAGAATATTAACGTTAATGTAAGTTTGGGATTAGTTTGCAATTTTTTTAATAATTATGTAGAACACACAAGTTAAATATGTTTGAATCATTCAAAAAAAAATGCGCAAGTAACGTGTTATGTCACTTTTTATGCAATATAACGAACAATGCAATACGTGGGGCTTTTTTTTATCGCGCAAAATGCCGAATCGGAACGTGTGTTCGATCGATCGATCTCCTATGGAAATTGAACTTTCATCCCGAAATTGGTTAAACATTCATTGTAACAATCGAGTCACGAGGGAGCGGTTCCGTGAATGGAGCGTATAACCAGCATATCTACCGGAAGTCCGGCCTACGAGTTCCGGCCTGAAGCGCACTCGTCTCATTGTCTTTTTCATCCTTTTTTTTCTTGTTGTTCAGCAATGAATGCTGTTGCCTTGTCAACTGAAAAAGAGACTCGCGAACGATTAGCGGTATACCAACAAGCAGAGAAGACACGAAATTATTCGAAGATTATTTTGCATTATTGATTTTGAATAACCTTGAATAACTTTCAATTATTGGTCATTGTATTTGTAATTAAAAAAGCGCCTCGGTAGCCTAATTGATTAAGACATTTGCGCGTAAAGCAAGCGATCCGGGTGGTGCGAGGTAATATTTTTCGCAGTAAGAATTATTATTTTCAGATTTTAATATCAGTTTAACATCGATATAAGATGCCAAAAAAGCATCAATTAATTATTAAATTGTTAATCAATTTAATTCGTGATAGTACTTCGATAGTTTGTTAGAGTTGCGTTTCAAGACTGACAATTGATCAGTGCGCTGTCTAGAAAGATTACATATATAAGTATATAAATTCACGCGAAATTATATATAAGCAACTAAGATCCAGCTAGACTGTTATAGGCTTAGCGAGTTATTTAGGTGATCTGTTTTAAATGCTTCACCCTGTATACATACATATACGAAAGTATCATCAGTAAAATTACAATTATAATTTTTAATTTTGTAATTGTATCCTTGGATAAAAAAGATGAAAAAAAGTTTCTTTGAATATTAAGCAAATATCTTGTTATCGAAATAATGTGAAATCTTCATGTTTAAGAACAAATGCGATAATCATGTACACGTCATGTTCAGGTATGTGTGGAGGATTTAGAGCGTCTCTTGTAAACAAAAAAATATCCTCGTGAAACTTTTAAATAAAGTCATTATTTGATACTATTATACTACATTTATATTCCTTTTGTTCTATGAACATTTCTTTTTTCTTTTTATTCATGAACACGCTTTACACATTTTAAAGTATACTTATGAATCACCTTGTGTGCGTGCGTGCGTGTGTGTGTGTGTGT